ATATAAACTAGTAATTTTGAAATGTGGAATATTTGTAGTTGTGATTATGATGGAGTTTCATTTATCAATCAATAAGAAAGATCATGGGCAAATACAAGATCAATAATTGGATCTAAATTAAAGACAATCAGAATAAATATGCATACAATGACAGATTAAAGGTAAACAATAACTAATCGAAATCAAGTCGTCTTCTGCGAAGATATTTGGAGGCCTGACTCCTGCCTAACGTTTATGCTGATGATGCTGTTCAGAAGACGAAGCGGTGAGACTATAGTTTATGGACGACCTTTGAACGACGGTAGACTGACCTTAAGAGTGTCCACATATAAATTAGTATGAGGAATTCAAATTATGATTTACAGCTGATGGTTAAGGTTAGGAATTAGATTTAAGTTTTTCATCTCGAACGGACATCATCTACAATGTCAAAACTCTATTTAGTCAAATGGATGAGTAAATTTCCTGCCGAAATTCGACACCTGTTATCTTATACCTGATTGGTTCGTCCATAAATCATAGTTTCACCTAAAGCACAACAGTAACGATTAAAAATCAATCTAGAAGCAGAATATTGGATAAAACACTCAAATGGATTATAACAATCTGAGGATTAAACGTTACTTACCATTTCTTTTATTTTTATTCATACATCCCAAAAGTATATTCTAGAAAATAATTCATCAGAAATCTGAAACCTTTAAATCTTTCCAAATTTAATGAAATCACAGAAAATGTTATCATTGTGTACTTATCTCAAATAAATAGATCCATCTAAATTATCAAACCGAAAATTATCTAATTTATCAATTTCTTTATTAATGTTCATCATGTCATCTTTTCCTGACATAATCTAATATATTTTATTTTTACTGTGATGATTGACAAATAATTAAAATGTTGTGGATATCGAAAAAACAAAAACGATAAAACTCTTTAACAGCATGAATGGTTGTTAAAATATACAAATAGTCATTCTTCATATAAAATTATCGACTTAACTCGCGTTGGTGAATATTGAAACTAAATAAGTCAAATAAGAGAATAGATATTTAAATACATATATTTCGTACACTCATTGGTCTGGACAGACAATCAGAGGAATGAACCTCATCAAAATGAGGCGCGGTGGAGAAAACATGTGAGCCAACTCCATTTAATTAAGCGTTAATCGATATTTTATAGTCACACGAATATATAAGTTACAAACGTGTGATGAATAGCATAAGTTGTTTACACACATACGCTCATATAAAAGCAGTCAAGTGAATAATTAACAAGGTCAAATCGTGACTCAAGAAGAATGGATAAATTGGCCTGTCCAGAAAATAGAATAAGTTGTATGGGCTTAACAAAGTAACTGACACTACAATAGACTTGAAACATTTTGTTTTACATGTGTTCATTGGATAAACAATTTATAATATAACAATACCAGTTGTTTGAACTTTTGACTAACGTTATCTAGGATGTTTTTTTATTGAGATTGAAGTTTAATTCACTCACAAAGTAGATCTATTGAATTGTTTTTATTGAGATCATGTCAGAATAAAAGTATCAATTGGCATACGTTATGAAATAGGGCTGCATGATATATGTTTATGAGACTAATTATGATAATTTTATTAACATAGTAATTTGAAAGAAAATTCAGAGATTAGTTGATATCTTGTCCATTTGGAATTTTCCGTATCTGTCAGAATTTGAACAATAATATACCAATCATATAAGCCTAGAAAACTAATTCTTAGTAAAAAAAAGAGTTGTGGAGTCGCTCTTATTATGGTGGAGTTTTGTTCTCCGAGCTGGATGGTTCGCTCGACTAAACCGTCCAGTTCAGAGAACAAAACTCCATCAAAATAACTCTTAGTACGTATAACCGAAATCGACAAAACCAAGTGAAAATGAATAAACCGTTTTCTGTACCAGTGTTAGTTTTTTTTATTAATAATAGCCTGTAACTTCAAAATAAGACTATCAGAATGTGTTTATAGTGTGCAGAATGACAAAAAAGTATGTTGAGACTTCAAGTTTCTTGAAATGATTTCTCGTTAAACTAATTGACATTATTTAGTAATGATCATTTAGTTTAGAAAATCTATTTATAGTTTGTAATTTAAAAATATCACTGTGTTAAGTTAACTTTCTTGAATACACTTCTGATAAAATTCTGAAATACAAATACACCTAATTATCAAATGTTTAATTTATCATATAAAGTTATATAGTGTTTTACCAGTGTACAAGTATTTGACAAATAAACATGACAGATAATTCCCATTTAAACATTAAAAATTAAACACATGAAGTACAGCGAAGGGATCTCTTCTCAACGAATAAACATGATAATTAGTGTGGAATATATGTTGAACGTCCTAGTAACAACTGAAAGTCTCTTAAATTACTACCAAAAACAAAGGATTTATGGCGATAAAAGTATTTCGATAAATTGTTTTAAAACAATAAAGAATTTTATCCAACTTTTTTTCACAAAGAAATGTAGTACTTCTCTATTTCTGCTATTCTGACCATATATTTTTGTTGAGATCATAATTCAATTGAAGCTAGACCACCATAGAAAACCTGGAAGCCATGTCACTCAGTTTCGCCAATTAGTTGAAGTCAAACACTTACACCGTTGGATGTCAGTCAGTTCAGTGGTCAAGTGGTTAAGCGTTTGCGCGCGAGACTGATAGGTCCTGGGTCCAAATGCCAGGAGGCTTGATCGTGGATGCTCACAGCTGAGGAATTCCACAATAGGATGAAACGGCCATTCAACGCTTCCAGGTTTTCCATGGTGGTCTAGCTTCAATTGACTCATGATTTCAACCATTGAAATTAATATCATATCCACAAAATCTCTTCTGATATATTTATGCATATGGAATACGAATTAATGATAGAAATGATTACCACTTATTTTATCTCTCTCTTCATAAAACACCAGAAGAAAAACAAATAGAACTAACTAACATGATTAATTAGATATAAAACATAACAACTTCACCTATATGCCATGGCGTCAACTAACTATTCTTGAGAAAGAAGAAAAATTATTACTTTACAAAATCCATAGTAGACATGTTCTTCTTTTATGAAAAAACTACTTAAATTGATTATAATCAAAATATAGGATTAATAGTTTCACATGACTGATTCAAAATGGATTTATTTACTATTGACTGAATATTAAAAAAAAACAAAAACAAGATTATTTTGATAAATGACCAAACTTATTTAATAAACTTTATGATATACAAAATCAACAATGTAATTAATATCTAAAACTAGGTCATCCAATTTCAAAATTAGCGCATAAAAATTATTTAATTGAGTTAAATAATAATAAAGTTATACGTTGATATAAGTTTTTTTTTATTTTTTCGTTCCTAAAATACTTGATTACACAGTTTCAATTGGAAAAATAACTCATTTCTATCATTGTAAAAGTATTGTGATGCGTGCTACTTATATTGACATAAGTAGTATATGACGCGAGTCAGGAATGTAATGTCTGGCAGCAGAAGATTGGGAAGATCAAGAAAGAAATAACGGGAATAGAAAGCAGTTGGTATGAAAATGCAAAAACAATGAAGTCCGAGACAGTTATTGAACATTTTGCAAATTGGGTATTATTAGTATGGTTTTTCTATTTTACCAAGTAACTCTGCAATCTGTTGAGGTGAAATCAAACTGCGACATGTAATGTATCCGCATCAATTATATGTATTGCATTATTGATGAAAACAATCTCCATCGAAACTCCCAACCTTTGTATTACTTAATAATTTCATTAATATTATCATAGTATACTTTTCAGTAACCATATAATGGATTGTTCTCTTGTTAAAGTTAAAAACAACTTAATATTCAACTTTATATGGATAATCAATTTTGATAGTTTGTTTATTTTATTAAAATAACAATAAAACGAAATGTTTCACAAGAAACAACTAAACATACTGATCATCCACTTACACTGTACTGTGGCATAGAACAAACGAGATTCCAGAGAAGGAAAAATTGGGAAGAAGCGCTGAAAGTGGATATAATACACATTGAGGAAAGCACCCAACCGCATTACAAGGCAAGATCTCGCTTAAAATCTTAAAGGTCAAAAGAGAAGAGAAAGACTAAAAAACACATTACACTGAGAAATGGAGACAGATATGAGAAAAATAAACGAAAATTGAATAGAACTAGAAAGGAAGGCCTAGGCCAGAGTGGGTTGGAGAATGCTGATCGGTGGCCTATAATACAGTGAGGGTAACAGGTGTAATTGAATAAGTACGTGTAAATTCAGTAAGTTATTACATAGACATTTTTCACATTATCACAATGAAATAATGCCAGACAAATAAAATTGATTTATTTGATATTGAGTAATTTGTAATAACGTTATATGTATATTATATTTCTAATTTATTTGCATATGATTATCATTCATTTTAATGAATTAAAATATATTTGTTGATGTTAGTTAGTCTCAGTAGAATATTTACTGTTGATCTATGAGTTATACTTTTTACTCATGCTTATCTTACTGACCCATAATAGATGAAGTCAGAAAAAAGCATGTGCAGATACAATGAAACAGGAGGAGACCGTCTAGACAGAATAGCCTTATTAATTACCGCGCAGCTAAACTCAAGACTTTTCTGGTTCGATCAGTTCATTACATTCACGTTAGCTTCATTTAGATAATTTTACTTTCTGAGACAGATCTTTGACTCATTTGTTGAAAATAAACCAATACAGTATAGAAGATCGACTTTTTTTATCTAATTCCATTATGACCCCGTCCCAATCCGGTTGAATATTGCCGTATTTCGAAATCAATCTGAATTTGATGATCTGTTGATCTTTACTAGATGGTTTTCGGTATGATTAAATGTAAATTCCTATAGCCAGGTTATTTAAATTTTGTTTGTTGGGTAATCTTTCGCAAATTAAAATAAAGAAAATTCGAATTAACTAATCTTTTGTAGTAAACATCATAAATGACTGACAGTATTACTAGTTTGATAGGTAGTATTACGAGTAACCATACTGTAACAGTATGATTCTTGTCGCATGTAATTATAAAACATAACTGTGGAAAACATACAGCGCTTTGTATTAGTTTATTTCAACATTGGAAGACCTGAACAGTTTACCACTAGGACGACGTACGAAACTTAAAACGATAGAATACTAGTCTGCTGAAATAGCAAGTAATATCAGTTTATACCAGGTTACTCATAGGAATAAAATAATGTGGTATGTATACTAACTGGTGTTTCTTTCGTATTTTATTCAGTAGCCATTTCGACTTTCAAATATAAAACGTTCTGTCGCGTTCGTCGAGTTCTGTTTGTCTTAAATCGGACTATTCTGGGAATTATCAGTTAACAAATCAATTCGAATACTTGTAATTAGCACACATTAGTAATCAAGTGGATGGTTTTGCAGAAAGTTGTTCATTCTTCTAAGTCGATGCCTTTACAAAAAACAACAACTCAGCAAACTCCCTCCTTCGTTGGAAGACGGGAATGTCATCTAAGCTGTAAATGATGCAAGTTGGTAAAAGTCAATGTAACCTAGTGAAACCGTCAGACACCAGACCATCAGGACTGATGAAATTCCTATGATCGTTGAGGAGACTAGTCCATTCAACTACTTTACTTCCCATCATTAATCGAGACTATGACGCAAGTTAATCCTGAAGCAACATTTGCATTTGAAGGAAGAGAATCGCATTACAAAACATGCTTGTATCTTTCTATTATCCTCACTATTCCTGCAATAATCAGACATCACTTTCATTTTTAGCTTGTTTATTGATGACCTTCTGGAAACAAACCTGAAGAAAATGCAATTAAGAGGCATACATCTTGTTTATGGCTCTTATCGTCAGTGAGCTTTCTATAAGCTACCACTACACAGTTGTAAATTTTCCTTTATTGAATTGTAAGATGATGTTGTGATACCTTGGGTAATTTACGTTTCACAGCTGACGTTGAATTTAGTGGAAACATTTCATGAGTTCTCGTATCTTAGAAGTTAAATGTTTCAGAAGACCATCATCAGGGTCTCCGGTACAAACAAGTACTCTGTAAATTTGTGACTCAGGATGTCTGATATGTAACAATATTCGGAGGCATTTCATCTTCATTTGTTGTTGCATCGAAAATATCTCTTACATTCAATGATATTGACTTTTCCGGTTAAAACCAAAGCCAATGCCCTGTAATCTTTCCAGTATATTAATAGATTAACTTCTATAATTCTCGTAAATTTGAAATTCATCAAAGTCTTATAAAATTCTGACAATAACTTTATATCAATAATTAAAATCATGAGTCAATTGAAGGTAGACCACCACAGAAAACCTGGAAGCACTGGACGGTCGTCTTGTCCTACAAACTATGTTCTGTAAAGGTTAAAATATTTCTTTGCGAGAACTTTTAGAAGTTTTACATCATAAATACTTATCATACTGTTCAGGTAGTTTAAATCACAATTACAGAAACTTATCAAATTTAAACGTCCTCAATTCATTTGAGAATTCGAAATATTTCTTCTGATCTATGGTAATTGTGTTTTTATAAATTTAGTAAGCACACTTACTATATTCTTGTTAGCCAATCAACAGTGCTTATTTATTTATTTATTTCAATTATCAATGGATGACGTATTGTACTAGTTGTACTACATGTATACACTCTGATTAGTATCCATATTAAGAACAAATTAAATCTTGCTATTTCACTGATTGGTTATTTCGTACAAAACTAATATCGTTGTATTATTATACTTGATGCCAAATAAGTAACCTTGAGAATAAAGGTATAACCTTGGACATTTATTAGTAGTTAATGTTGTGGGGAATACTTTTCTAATCAGAGAAACAAAATTAACAATAATATAATCATAATCATATATTGTTTTTACATTACAAATATTGGCTAACTGTGTTCATTGTTATCATGAGATAAAGATATGATAACTCGTGTGATTTCAGCATAGTCTATCTATCTGCCCACGTGTTGTTGAGTAAAAGAAACACATCAGTGAAGTTTAATTCAGTTTATCACATGAATATCTAAACATTGAATTGAAATAAAACAATCAAGTAGTCTGTAATCATTAGAAAAGGATAAATAGTGGAATTTGGTCTACATGTGAACTATATCATATCCTCCGTGATGAATTTCAAATATCCAAGCAGAAAATGTTTGTTTTAAAATAACTTTTGTATATTCACTCATCTTATTTCTAAAATTATCAAAGAATAGATGAATGCTTGACTGCTGAATTAATCATCTTTTGATTTATAAAGACATATATTATTAGAATATATCTAATAGGCAAATTTATTCTTTAAAGTATTGGAAACAGTAATAAGCATAGCAAAATACCTAAATATTATTTATTTCAAGAAACTATTTCGATCAGTAAACATTTTCATAAAAATCAACAAGAAATCACATCCATTTAGATTAAAATCTTGAAATCGAGATCTTCATTCAGAAGTATCCATCTGCTGGTAAGTCTCACTTATTTGTTCATAAATAGTGAAAAGTAATCATGCTTTTTTTCAATTTAATTCTTTATATACACTAAATTTCATTTTATGAAATATTTCCCAGTGTTCAGTTAAGCTTTTTAATTATGACCAATATTATAATTGTGTTTAAACATAAACTCATAATTATGTCTCTACTGTATTTGTTAATTGTTGATATACTTCATATTACGTACATGTTTCTAAATAAAAGCGAATTGTGAACAGTCAGTAACTTAATATTCCACAAACTGTACTAAATTAATGTTTGGTGGATCGATTATCGTACATTTTCCTCCCTATGTTTTAATAATTCTAACTACTAGTTGATTTAATTCATTCTGAGACAAATTCATTAGTTCCTCAGCTTAAAAAAATTATCATTTATAAACGTTATTCCGAAAATTCTCCGAAGAAGTGGCTTACACTAAGTCACGATACGTGAGAAAATCAGATTTTCCTACTCATTAGGATATTAGAAATATATTATTTATTTATAGATTACCAGACAATTTTTTAAACAACAATTTATTATTGTTTTCTACATTCACTGTATAGTAGATAAAGCAGGTTTTTCATAATCACTTTTGTAATGAGTTTGGCCATTTTTTTACATTTTGATGCCTTTCTCTTGTAATTAAGTAAACATCAACTTGTTATAAACAAATTTTATATTGGCTATCAAAATTTCTAAATGATGAAATATGCCATAATCATCGTTTATTGATTAGAAATTATAATCACTGTCATCTACATTGAGTTAACTTCTTGTAAATCATTGTAAACAAAAACAACAACACGAATAGATACATAATAATCATTTTATGATCAGTAAAACAACAGTGTGCTCTGATGTGTAAAATTCAATGTCAATCTTCTGCTCTTTAACAAGTTTTTCATCCGGAGAATTTTTAAGTATAATATAGGAATTTTGAAGTGGACACAAAAATCCTTTGAGTATATTTATATGTGTATTGATTCAATGACAAAGCAGAAATGTATCTCAAACACCTCAGATGTAACATAAGTCTATTACAAAATATCCGTAATTGAAATGTAGTATTTATCTATTCAACTTCCAATCATACGGTCTATGTAAATAATGAATTAATACAATCTATGATATATTCAGTTATTGAAAAATGTACAAATCTATTAAACATTTTAAATGATTGTTACTTTAGGTTTCAGATCTTTTATACATAGATAAAACTTATTTGGTGATACAAATCTCGAGCAACCAAAAAATTGTTTACTTGTATGATGGGAATAACAATTACTCTATTAATTTAATGACCAAAAATAGCTTATAAGCACAAATAATCGCTGAAAAATTCCAATTATATTAAAACACAATTATATGAACGAAGAATATTCTTTTCAATGAATTTCTCATCAGGTTCTACAATCATAAATCCAAATTAATAATCCATAAAATTGATCAGATTTAAGGCAGAGTACATCATTTGGAAATTGTAATATGTAAATCAAGATTTGTTGTTTGTCATATAAAATCAAATCAGATCGTCAATTTTGGGACTGTCTAATATGAAGTGTTAACTTGAATCAGTTTATAATCGAAATGAAATTGTAAGATAAATGACCAGAATATTTATGACCAACATGGAGTGAGAGAAAGAGAGAGAATGATGGAATAAAAATAAAAGATTACGTAATATGTGGAATAATATAAATTAGGTCAGATATAGTAGATAGGGTGAATGCTGAATAAATTTCTCAAAACGGTTATCAAGGGTATTAAAAATAACATTGATAAAGATAATAATAATAATAAGATAAATTTGTAACATAAAAACGAACATGAGTCAAATTACGTCACCATATTATAAAATTGATTCATAACTAGTTGGCCCCGAAGTTGGCCAGGGTAAAAGGACAGGCTGAACATATTTCTTTTGGATGCAAAGCTCTGGCGTTTTGATCCGAACAGTATTGGCTTCAGCTGTCTGAAAGATTCTCAGTCTGACGGAATTAGGTAGACTGATGTTAACACGATATATTATTGTGAAAGATTGCTCATTGTTGGCTGAACACGTGTTGACTGAATTAAGGTTTTTGATAAGGAAGTTTATTTTGAGCTATTCTTATCGTATAAAGGAATATTTTGTCAACTGGAAATGTCAAAAATATCTCACTGGAACATTTTACTTTCCAAAAAAGAAACAATCTAAATTAACCATCAAGCATTTAAAAGTGATTTTATCATAGATAAGAGATATCATATTAATTCAATTCTCTATTCTATCTCTATTAAGATATAAGAATATTGACATATTTTTAATCATTATCATTTAAAGTATATAAATATTTGTGTTAAAATATATTACCGATATAATCTCTAAAACTAATTATATATGCACCTGTGAATTTGTTATTATTCAAATAATTGGAGCAATACAACTATTTTGACATTTTAATGAGAGATACTAGTTCCAATGTATGTGATTAAGTATATTCACGTTATTTAAAAAAGAAACAGTAGTAAAAGTATTCAAACATATACAACTTAATAGTTGAGATCATGAGTTGATTGAAGCTAGATCACCATGAAAAAACTGGAAGCACTAGAAGGTCATTACGTTCTATTATGCGACTCCCAGCAGTGCGCATCCACGCTCTCGCCTCGTGGGATTCAAACACAGGACCTATCGGTCTCGTTTAACCATTACATCACTAAGCTGGCCGGCATCCAACGGTGTTAACGTCTAACTTCAATGAATCCACAACATTCAGTGACACATCCACTACTATCTCACTCCAGGAAATCACTCTTGAGGTCATTCACTAATGGGTATATGTTGATTAATATCAGGAGTTTTATGGAGATTTTAATAATTTCAATAATTGAGATCATGATCCACAGCAGTCTAGCTTCAACTGACTCAAAATCTCAACTATTGAAGTTACTCAAATCTCTACAAAACCCCTTCTGATATACACCTGATTTAGCTATTTTTTGTTATATTGTTAATAACCTGCACTTAGTTTTCAATTCACTATTCATTTTAAGTTATTCTATCGTATATGTCTATTGTAATTAATTAAAAATTTACCGACTATTTATTGAAATTATCAAATGAAATTATATAACTGTAAAGTATCCTTTGATATTTTAACTTCATAATTATATCATATTCTATCATTATTTATTATTATGGTTTAAAACAAATACCATTCCAATAACAATATTATATGTCTCAAATCAGAGTTTATCTTATATGAAATATAAACACAAATATATATTGAAATGATCTAATTCATTATTGTATACTATTTCTTTGATTCATCATGTATCATATATATCAAATCAATAAAACTAACCCCATTTTCAAATCATTCCACCTGGTTATCTGTATTATTATTAATCATAAATTCACTACTTGTTTTCACAATCTATGTACATGAAATATGAATAGCTATTTAAGGGTAAATTTGTTATTTTCCAGTATTTAATTGATATAAAATTAAATAAATTTTTGTTTATTTATGATTTCCGGTTATTTTTTTTCTGTTTAAAACAAATCTATCTATTTAAGTTTCAATATTCACTTTATGGACTTTATAATAAAAATCATTTGATCGTGACTGATTCCTTTAAACAATAAATTAGTTTCAGAACGGGGTTTTGTAGAGATTTTAATAATTTCAATCGTTGAACTCATGAGTTAATTGAAGCTAGACCATCATGGAAAACCTGGAAGTATTGGATGGCCGTTTCTTCTTGGTATGGGACTCCTCAGCAGCGAACAAATTAGCTCAGAAATAAATGAAGATTTGAATTAAATACTTGAATATACCTGTAAATGATAGATTTTTATCAGTAATTTCAACTGGTGAATAGCTAGAAATCAGGAGGCATTAAAATGATGTTTCACTAAGGGATTGAACTTATAAGTAATATCAGTCAAAGATCGTAGTAAGGATTAAATCCAGGAAATTTAGGTGGAGTCCCTGCTTAATATTCCAAATTTTTAACTTTAATTATCTAATGATATATGTTTCACTCCTAAGATGTTTAGACTCGATTGAAATGAGAACTAGTAGTCATAACACCTAGGATAAAGTATTTTAAGTATATTTGTTTGTTATCTGTCTTTTTGTGATACCTATTACTAATTGTCAAATTTCCTATTGTAGGATGGTTTATTTGTCTTGAACAGATATCTTTAAAAGAAACTAAGAAACTAAAGAGTTTATGGTAGAACATGCATAACAACAACATTTTAAGAGTAACTATAAACATCTGTTTATATATTTTAAAAAATTGATGCATACATTTAATGTGTTATAATCATTAAATGATGCTTAATCAATAAGATTATATTAACTAACTTCAAGGATACGAACTAATCAAACTCGTTGATCATCTTAAATGAAACTAAAAAAACAGAACATGAACACTCTATGATATTATATCTACAGTAGTACACTAGTATGTATAAACGCTATCAGTGAAAGTATAAATGTTATCATATATGCAAGGAGAAATTTTCATATGGTAGAAACAAATTGGACTTATGATTATTTCATGATTGAAATATAATGTACTAACATTTATATAATTTAATTAACCTTTAACAGACGCTGGAATAGATTAGAAACGATTATGTAAGCCCTAGCTAACATTTTTTTTCATAAATAGGTTTTTAAAATCTTATTGAAAGGATACAGGACATTCTCTAGGAAAAGTAGTGATTATATAATACAACTTGGGTGGCAAGTCTTATTGTTCTTGAAATCTTATACCTTCCATACAATACATTCTATTTTTAAGTGTACGAAAAACATTATGTAAACACGGCTGTATATGGTTTTATAACATCAATAATATTTTAGTAGATGATACTCACAACATTGTTTGTTGTATGTATGTATGTATTGAACATGGACTGAAAGTTGTCTGATGGAATGAAGGGTTTCATTATAGGGAAAGCACGGAGTTGTCAGAATAAATGGATATTAGACGAGTAAAGAAATCAGATATCAGAACACGGAAATATGCAAATGAACAACTGTACCCAGTAAATACACATTTCTCCTGACTATTGCTTTTGTTTTACAAAATAAATGTAACTTGTTTTTATAAATAAAGGGTTTATAATCTGAAGACTAAGTAGAAAAGTTGCTCAAATCAAGACAGGTATCTACCTCAGTACAATGGAAGTTGGTTGCACAATTTCGTGGATTGGTTGATGTTAGACACAAACACTATTGGATGCTGGCTCAGTGGTCTAATGGTTAAGTGCTCAGGCGCGGAGCCAGTAGGTCCTGGGTTCGAATCCCGCGGGGTGCGGGATCGTGAATGCGCACTGCTGAGGAGTCCCATACTAGGACGAAACGGCCGTCCAGTGCTTCCAGGTTTCCAACGGTGGTCTAACGTCAATTGATTCATGATCTCAACCAAAAACTTAACAATCTCCACAACCCCCATACTGATAATACAGAACAATCAGATTTATTTGTGTAACATTTAATAAGGTGATTTATTAAATAAGAACTTTCGTCTAAATATGATGAAATAGTTTCACAGTATTTGGGCGCCGAGTTGATATGAGACATTATAGAAGAATGTATTTCTAAAATCTCAGCGAATGAATCTGAAGTAAATCCAACATTTTGCATGGCAATCTGGTTCAAGCTTTTTCAAGGAAATATAATCAATTATCAAAATTATTGGTATTCGAGTTTCTACAAATACATTCTTCTTCTTCAACGTGACTTATTATTTACAAAAAACAAAAATGGAACTTTCTTCATAATGAGTAATGATTCGGTCTAGTTGACTTATTTAATGAATTAAATACAATAATCAGTAAAAAAGCTTAAAGATCCGTCTTCTAGAATGCTTTACTTTCCACATTCGAGTAGAGGATTTAGCAACTCGTATCTCAAGTATTACTCATTAAAATTCTAACCCTTTTTTAAAAATTAATAACCATTCATTCATTTTGATTACATTTAACAATAATGCAATAAATTACCTTCATAACTTGAAAATAAATAATTTTTATTTTAATAAATACTTGAATTCACAAGTCAATTGAAGCTAGACCATCATGGTAAACCTGGAAGCACTGAACGACCGTTTCGTCCTAGTATAAATTCAATTATTCAATTACTAAAATCTCTATAAAGCCCCTCTCTAATTTTAATAAATACATTTTTAGTCAAACCTAAAATTGTAAACATCATTTTAACACTTAATTATTAAAGTTACACTGAGTGCTTTTCATTGTTCATATGATAATTTATTCTGTATTTTATTGTTATTATTGTTGTTTTTATTAAATGTTATTGTTGTTTGGCAAAAAAGAAGTTTTTATTTGTTTTTAAGATCAGTTTAGATTATTCTCTCTACAACAGAATAATAATAATAATGATGAATAAGTAAATAATTTTATTATTTTCATAACTATAATATTACTAATGTAAACATAAATCAATGGAACGTTTAAATAGGAATATTAAAATCGAACATATGTCCAATTATTCACATTATTGTTGAAATTTAAACATTACTATGAACTAAGGCATGTTTTTAATTGTGATACATTTAGGCGCCAAATTAATATATCTAAACAAAATTTATTGTAAATGGTTAAATTAAAAATGTACTTCCTTTGACTGTTATTGTTTTGTTGTTAAAATATTTATTTATTATTCAAATAAAAGATTAGAATAAAAATACTGTTATTATATCTTAGTTTATTCTAAAATATTCTTAAATTAAAAAATCTCATTCTAAATAAGTGAACCTCAAATCCTTTAGTTTATAAAGAAAATAAGATATGAGACAATTTAGCATGATCACTAAGTAACGGTGAAAAAAGTTGTTTAAACGTTTTACCTGGGAACTACATCAGTGTTACTTATGTTAATAGTACATATATTTGACAATGGCACATGATTTGTCTATGTAAGTATTATGTTTAAACATGATATCAGCTGATCTCATTTTTATTGATTTTCACTAGTTATTAACCAAATTTCAAATAAAGTAAGTATTCATTGATTAGATCATTGAAAAGATTAATGTTATTATCATTTCAATAGCACTCTTCAATATAAATTTATGAATTAAGCTAATTAGCTTTTCGGCAATCATTTCGATAGCTGAAACACTTCTATATACTATATTCTGTTAAGGTCCTATTCTCGGCAATAAAGAAGAATTCAGCGGCAATTTGAGAAATCTCACATAAACCCATTTCGTATTAAAACTTGTTTATCAGAATTACTTTGTTGGACGAATGCAAACTATTTACCATTCCACGGCTATTTAATTATAGTTTAGAACAACTTCTAAACACAATTTTAGCCAAGATATAACCTGTAACTTTTACATTACGTTGCTGGCACAATACCTTTAAATCGATAATTCAGAATCCAGCTGTCCACACTTGATTCTAGTCCTCGTTTCTATCACAATATTCGTCCAAAGTTATTATCTTATACTATGTAAAAACTGACTTTCTCTACTACAGAGGTTAATGTCAATAAGCTACAATGAAACATATACTTAATATTTCTTTTTTGATCATGGCTTCTTGTTTGACATTTGTCCATGATTTCAACCAAAGTGAAAGAATCCAGCGTTTATAAACCAATTAACCTATTCTCTGTACTTGATTATTACAAATGTTGCTGATATTTAGTGAACAGGGATACGACGAAATTGTTCCGAATAGCCATGAAGCGTTACTACAACACAATCCAATGACTCTTTCATTTCATTAATAATAAATATTGTAACTTTTAAGACAATAACTGAAATATATGAAAACAGTTTCTTATCAGTTACACGTAGTACCACATGTGAGTAATCTTTTTCCCAGTAAAACCACTAGAAATCAAAAGATAATTTTTATGAAAATCTTGATAAAAAAATAAGCATTAAAAAATCCAAATAAAAAAGAAAGAATGGTATGCGTCTACTCCATCTATTCATTTTACAATGAATTCAGTTTTGCAAGCCGGCAATAGTTTCTTTTCTACATTAATTGAGTTGGTATTCATGTAGTTAAAAGTGGATCTTTGTTAGCACACGTTTGCTGATGTATATGTTACGTTTTATCCTTAAGTATCTTTCTACTCCAAGAGTAACTAGTTGATCAATACTAATACGCAGACAGTGGACAAAATAGTAAAATAATCTAACTACTCCTAAACAATAAGTAAATTTGGTAAAGCGGAAATTCCCATTTGAACATAAGATGAAAAGTAAACGTAACAAAGAAATGGTTCTCTTCAATCAGTTCTTCGTCATGGATATACACTAACGTGTATGTATTTCACAATAATAATGGAATGGCAATCATGTAGTATTGTTGCATAAAAATATTATCATTTCACAATTCAATTTAAGAATAACATCGAATGATAGCCCAAATAATTAAACAAAAGATGATAAAGTAAATATAATAATTAAAATAATTATTCGTAATGTTGATCGGTTGGCAGGTAAAATAATATATAAGATAATTAAAATAACCCATAGTGTCATTGAATTAGAAAAAGAGAATTCAGCGAAGAAAATTTTCTTTTTGATGAAATCATTTACTTAAGCTGTACATTCGTATATATCTAAGAAAAGAATTACTACAATATTTTTCATAACATGTCTAGAACTCATTATAGCCATATTAGAGTAAAAAAAAACAAATATTAGAATTACGTAATGAATACAAAACTGAAAGAAATTTAGGAAGGGAGAGAATACAAATTCTGTTATGAAAAACTCTGGTATAGCTTATAAGAGTGACTTGAAAATAAAGATGGACTGTGACAGTTTCTCTTGAACACAAAATTTTGATCTGTGTATATGAACTACGATAGCTTCAAAAGATGAACAAGCAAACTATGCGTTTCATTTAATGTAAAATGGTGAATAAATTAAAATCCTTCTTGTCTGCTTGATACCATAAGTTATGTAAAAGAAAAACGATAAATATGACAAGTTATCTCCAAGTGTTCTTCTGTTCATCCAAATTAGATTGTATTCAGAGATTTTATGAAGGACATAAATGACTCTATGTCCTATGTAACTGGCTTCACTAAAACAGTTACACTGATAAAAACACATAAATGCAGCGAACTTAAGCAGTTTGTTTTTGTTTGGAGACTATTGTAAAATACCACAGTTTGGCTTTAATTTACGATTATTTAAAAAAAGTTTGTTTTAGCTTTTTCATGTTAATATTTCATAGGCAACAATGTATTCTCACTACGGTCTGAGAAATAATGAATTCTATGAGACATTCACTATTCTCAGGTTTATTTTTATCTAGTTTATGTGTTTGCAATTGATTTTGGTAAGATATCCGACCTTACAATTCAGGTTATAAATATTATTTTATTATTATTATTTATTGTTATCGGTTACCAACCTATTCAAGGGTAAATCGATATTCACCTATGATTTACGTAATGAAGGTTATGGTAATATTGTAGAAATTTAAAATTATTTCACTAAAATCCATAAGCTAATAGCAGATGAAAACGCCAATCTTTCCTAATTGTTAAAATAATAATTATAATCATCATTGTAGGAATTCTACATACACACACACACACACAAAAGGAAATAATACTGTGAACCACCAGATGTCTACTATAAATAAAATTCAAGTGAAAAATAATATTGTCGATAATTACTGGCCAGTATATCACTTCAAATACGCAGTGATAAAGAGAACATAAATACAAAAAAATGAAATCTATTTCTAATTTCTATTTTGAACAGAATTGATTATTGATTGTTGATAGAATTTTGTTTTGTAATACTGTTTTTTTACATTTTCAGGTGGCTAGTTTTTTAAAAAAAAGAAGGATTTGTGGTAGGTACTTCTTTTTATTTATTTATTTAAGATTATTGTACATTTACAAATTGATGCTAAACTAAACTCATTAGACTAAATAAGTACAGTGCATGGGATGTCTAGTTGTTTACATTGGAATTTAAATGATTCAATTTATTCAATACTCAAAAAAGAATAAGATAAACTTAGTTCTAGTCCTGCATAAAATTAATCACAACTTGAATAACTCAGCGGTAATGTATCAAACTGAGGAAGGGAGTGACGTTGGATTGAATCCATCAAGAAATGTTGGTTCTCACAAGAATAGAGGTATAACTACGTAATGAATACCAGTCATTAAGAGATCTACATCCACAAAAATTTAATGCTAAATTATTTTAAACCACTTAAAATTTAAGGTTAGTCTTTGGGAATTAAATATATATCTAAAGAAAACCACTCAATGTCGAAAGCACGGGTTTAAAGTATCTGTCATAAATAATTCAGTTTTGATGAAGAAGTAATAACTGTAGATGTATATTTATTATACATATGAATGTCTCAATCTTACTTGTTGACAATGATAATACGTTAATTAGGATTTTTAACGATAACAAAAATTATAATCTTAGAAAAATTATATTAAAAATTATAGATAAAAATAATATATTTGTAATATCCCAATGAGTAGAAACATTAGATGTTCTGACGTCTCGTGACTCAATATAAGCCACTTCTTCAGAGAATGAATAACCAAATTAAAATGACTTCAATTTCAGATAGCACAAAAAAAACAACTCAAAAATATTATGTTCGATCAATCAAAAAGCAGATCTGAACAAGTCAAAATCCAATTATAAGAGTATAAATCGTTTTACCAAAGAATGTCTTGAATAAAATCATGTTTCTCACTAAACATTTTAGTAATAAAGTGATCCTATAAATAGATAATCATATATATGTATTTATATATATGCCGGCTCAGTGGTCTAGTGTTTGAGTGCTCGCGCGCGAGACTGATATGTCCTGGGTTTGAATCTCGCGAGGCGGGATCAGAATGCGCACCGCTGATGAGTCCCACAAAAGGGCAAAACGGCCCTCCAGTGCTTCCGGGTTTTCAATGGTGGTCCAGCTTCAATTGATTCATGATCTCAACTATTGAAACTACTATAATATCCACAAAACCCTTTCTGATATATATATATATATATATATATATATATATTACGCAGAAAACAAACATGTAGGAAATCCTACTGTCACTAATTTTCAATCAACCATTTATGTTACATTTTTAACTGTACAATGATTTTTTCATATTGGTATGGATAGTGTCATGTATCTAGGATAACAAAATTTTATTTGTCTTCGTACAATAAGCTAAGATATTTCGGATATTTCAAAAAAGTCACAAATAATCAGAAGTTGTTTTCTGCATACTTTTAACAGTCACAGTTGATTTTAAATTGTTGAACTGAGTGACTGATAGAATGTAACAAACTATTTATAATACAGTAAAACATTAAATGTCCAATTGTCATAAAAATCATTAATTTTTTGTGAGCTTTGGGTTTTTATAGGTAAGATACATACCTTATACTCTTTTTATAAAGTGAAATATTTCAAGTTATTGATTAATAAACTATTTGTACTTGGCAAAGCTGAGTGGTGGCTAGCAGTAGAATCCAGGACGTGCGTTTTGTCCTATTTAGGACTCGTCAGCTGGATGTACCTGCATCCCAGAGTTAATTATTACTCCGGGACTCGAACCCAGTACTATTTGCTTATAAAGCTTGTGAATTAAGACAATATCGAGGCAGTCCTCACAGGATGCACATATGCCAACAAGATCAATTGCAGCCCTAAACAACAACGGAAAGATACACGTAAACAATACCAAATGATTTGTTCGTTCTTAGTTTAATTTGTAAAAGTTAGGATCATCTGGTTCCTGATATATTTGGACTGAGTTTTTATGAGTCGTAGTTGACCTATGTGCATTCTATGAGGATCGCCTCGACAAAGTTGTTGTCTCACGAATGAATATAGCTGACGGTGAAATCCAGGACAAGCGTTGCGTCCTATTTTAGGCTCGTGAGATTAATCTTTCTGCATCTCAGAGATTATTTTCACTTAAGGATTTGAAAACAGTACCTTTTTACTTAAAGTTCCAATTCAATGTCACTTAGCTAGTGAGTTCAGATAACCACTTTCATCTATTCTACACAAATGATTGTTCTTAGCTTCAATTATCTAAGCTAACAAAATATTAAAAATTAATGGAAATCTCACCATAGTTGTATCTTTGATTTTTTTGTCGCATTACTTTTGAAATGAATATGTAAATGTTTGCATTTAATGCGTTCTTTGATAAGCAGTGGTTAATGCATAATAATAATAGTTTAATAAATACCTAACAAAATAAGGATTTGTGGAGTTGTAGTAATTTTAACAGTTGAATTCACTCGTCGATCAAAGTTAGTGGTCTAGAAAGAATTCAATAAAAACGCAGTAATCTTTCACATTCAAGTGTTTGTTAAGAAATTCATATAGATTAAAATTAAGTAGTATGAATCGCATTTGTACTTTGACATATAAATCCTAAATCCATCGACAAAAAATCGATATGGTCCCATCTATAAATAGACAATTAGATAATAACTTATTGGATAAGGGTCGCTATACATAGTACAATGTATTCTAGTTTTTATAATTAAATATATATGCCGCAGTTGCTGCTTTCGACGTAAAATATTACTGTGTAAAAGTACAAACAAAGTATTACAACTTTTTAAACTAGTACGAAATAATTATTGAGTAATTTATTATCTTAAATTAGTTTTCAATATATGAACACTTTTACCCTGTTTGATGAATATAATCCATACATAGTATAAGATTAGAATTAAACAATGTGGTAGGCAGATAATTTTTATTTTATTTACTCTATATACCAAACAATAAACCTGAGTTATTTATTCATATCAATTTGACAATGAATAATAAATTGTAGGCAAAACAATTTTTTTCTTATACTAAATGACATATTTAGTAAACAAATCTGTAATTTATATTGTAACTATGCATTAACGTGTTTATTTTTTGTCAATTCACTAATTGAATGAAACAAACATTTAAAAAAAAAAAAATAAAATCGTTGTATTTTGATTTATAGTTATGAATCATTGATTCACTACTTAAATGCCTATCCATAAGTTGTTACAAACTATATGGAACTTAGTTTTTGTCAAATTGATCTAGATTATTTATTGTAAATGCAATTATACAAATATTGTTACTTTAAAGTTGTATTAAAGTAGGTTATAGTTACTGTGAGATAACATTTTCATCTTGTCAAATGAGTCAAATTGAAATCCGATATATTGCCATGACAACAGCAACTATAGGAGTTTTCTTTAACTAAATGGTTACTTGATAAATTATTTAAAGTAGAATTTCTAAACAAATAACTTTCAGATGTAAACAATCAGTTGAAACTTAACCGTATATACATCATAAAGCTTTCATCATTTTAAAGATTTTCTCATATTATTTTGCCCAAGTTATCTGGTATTTGAGTCAAAAGAAACTAACTTTTTACATAAAACCAAAAAAATCAATTTGTAATGTAAGTTTGTACACAGCTATTCTTACTTTAATCGAATCCCATGGCAATGAATGAAGTTGAAATTTCAATATTTGTGTACTTTCGACATACTTAGTTACTTACACGTGTTACCCCTAATAAGTAATCCTTTCCAGCTACTTCTAGTTGTTATTCATTCTTTTGATGTCTGTTTCTAATCATCGACGCAATTTGTTCCTTTGTGGCACAGTTTAACATAAGGTAGGTATTACTTCATAATCATTGTATTATTATAACAATAAAGACACTGTAAATATACTTAGATAATTTTTAAAACATGTCAAAATATCAAGTCTAGTTTCTGGTTATTTATCAGCTGGTAACATGAACACCAACAAATTTATAACCATACATGTTAGTCATTAAAAATATGTGTCATTGTTGTCTAATAGTGTGATTTGGAACTTTGATTATTATTTTTAAACAATTTTGCTTTTCAAATACTCAAAATAATTCAGACTGATAGAATAAGGGATGGAGTGCTAACTGGAATTGAAAAAAAACGGTCTTTGCAAATGCTTATTCCTCATGTTCTTGAATTCATTTGAAATAACTACGATATTCCTAATATTTAAAATAATATAGAATCGAGGACTTTTCTTATAAACCAGCATACTATTCGTCTCTAGCCAGTATCATTAATTATACACACTGTCTTCTAGAAATACGATTAGAATGTTTCCTCAATTTACTTTTTCACTCAAAGCATACCGTAAATAGGAAATAAAGTAAATCAAACACTTTCAATGAAGCACACTATAAAAAAGTCAGTTTTTTAATTAGAATAACATGGTATTACTATTAAAATTATTTATGGAGTGTTAACAACTGACTGAATCTCTAAAAAAATACATTTAAAAGTCTCTATAGAAATGGAAATACAGACTGACAAAACAAATTTATTGTTAACTAATGTCGGACTTATAAAACAAAAGATCCTTACAATATATGATACATGATGACACTATAATACGTATCGCTAAGATCTTAACAATTATTTCATGAAGATAAAAATAATTCTTCCCAACATATTATGTAATCAATGTTGTTTTGTATGCAGGATTTTGTGAGCTTAGTGTCTTTCGAGGTGAACACTGAAGCCTGATGAGTTCCCTTGAACACAACTATGAAGTTATATCGATATCCTAGATCTTTTCGATGTAAAGTCTTTATAAATTCGATCAATTTTAGTCGAGAAACTCACTTAAAAAGAAAAACACGAATATGGAGAGTTAAATCAATTTTTATGGTATATGACTGTTAAATTCATTATCTATAAAGTTCAAAATTAATAACGTTAGAGCTAATGTTGAATACTGGAAAGTCGAAACTTTGATTAAGAATACGATTACTCATTATTATAAATGACTTCATAACTAGAGGTTGTTATTTC